CAATTCACAGACATGTTATTTCACCGACATTTATTTACCATTTCACCGACAGTTTATTTCACCGAAACTTATTTCACTGACAAATTAATTCTGGTCATTGTCATTAAGGCCAGGTTAGAATTAGAATTATGGTTAGTGGAATTTATAAAAAAAATTTGTCTATGAAATGAGCTTCTGTGAAATAAATTGTCAGTGAAATAAACTTGTTTGCAAAATAAGTGTCGGTGAAATAAACATGTCAGTAAATTTTTGTTGGTAAAATGGAAAATAAATATTGGTAAAATAACATATTGGTGAATTGTTGTCAGTGAATTGTTATTTCTACAAAACGAGCATCAGTGAAGTGAGCTGAACCGGTTTTACTTTGCTTAATTGGAATTAAATCTGATACCTTAGAAAATCCTAAAAAAAAAACTTATTAATTACAACTTAAATAAAACAATTACAATACTGCATTACAGTATCAATTTGGATTGACATTGAGTCTTTCATTGCAGAGGGTTCTAATTCATAATAAATATTAAGTACTGTACATATATTAAAATTTAAAAAAAAACTTAAAATGCATAAATATGAATTACCCACTTCTTTAATTGGAATTAAATGAGATACATTATCGAGCTTGTGCTTTAAAGATTGATATTGATAAGCAGATACACCAGCGATAGTTTTATGTTGAGAAAAAATAATCTGCTCATCAAGCATTATACCAGATTCTACAAGACTATAAATACCTGTTGAACGCATTGAATGATTCATAATCATATGACCTTTAAAATCCAATTTTGCATCTTTACATATTTGAATGTATCATTGTATCGTGTGATTCTTTTTCTAATTTAGTGGGTAAATATCATTTACCACAATAAATTTTTTTGGTGTAACAAAAAATAAATCATCTTCTGTATCATTTGGACATTTGGTCAAGTACTTTTTAATATTTGCCACTGGTGTATACTATTTCCAGAAATATCAGGTGGTATAAAGTTAGAACCTGCTTCAGCATATGGATTCTTAATACCACCTGCATGATTTTTTTCCTTAAGTAATTCAAGTTGCATCCCACCATTCTTCAACTCTTTGAGTCAAGAAGCTTTCAAACATTTAGCAGCACCACCTCTTAAGCAATACAGTAATGACAACCAAAGCCAAACCTATCACATAAGACCTTTAGGATCATTAATTGATGTTGCAGGTAAGTCGTGCAATAACTTAATTTTATCAGTCTCTAAAGAAGCTGATTGTTTACGATTTTTATTTCCTTTTTCAACAATTGATTTCATATGACCATTCAATGTTCTATACAAATTTTTAAATTTGTGCTTATCAAATAAATTGATGGCTCTTATATTTTCAAAAGCTTCAGAAATTTCCTGTGCAATTGTGCAAAAGCTAGTATAAAGTGAAGAGGCTTTATATTCTTGACCATTTGACTTACGAACTTCAACTATGAATTGTTCAAGCTGTTCAGATATTGTTTTGTTATCAAGTGCTTTAAGATCGTCTAAATATCCATGCAGTTGATGAAACTTATAAAGTAAATCCATCCAAATATTCATTGATTTATCAGTATTTTTGTTTCTTGATGCTGCTGAAATTCTACAATTTCTTCTCTAGATGATGAAACAAATTGAGAATTATTCTTTTTCATTTTTTTTTTTTTTTAATTTAAAAAATGTAAAAGCAAAATAAATAAAATGTGCAGATGAAAGTGGAGTTAAATAAAAAGTCAAAGTGAAAATAAAAAGCGAAATATAAAATAAAAATAAATTAAAGGAGTAAAAAAAAATAAAGCGAAAATATAAAATAAGAGTGTAGAAGAAAGTAAAAGTGCACATAAAAAAAAAAAAAGGTTCAATAGAAAAGTAAAATAAAGCGAAGTAAAGTAAAGCGAAGTAAAGTAAAGCGCAGTAAAAAATGGTCATCTTATATATAGTTAACACGTGATTAAATAATGATGATGCGCAGTCAGATTAACATCTAGTGACACGCTCCCGGGGATTACCTATTTATTTCCTGGGGCGAAATTATAGCAGAGGTTACCGACGATCATATCACGTGGATGGCCCTTCGGGCCATCCACGTGCTATGATCGTCGGTAACCTCTGCTATAATTTCTACCCCCCAGGAAATAAATAATACAAATACAATCGGAGTAAAAATAACGACATTCTCGTTGTTGTGTGAGTCCCGTGAAGTAATTGAAGCGGCACAGTGCCGAATTAACAATTAACTAGGTTTGCTATCCAAACTAGTTCAGAATTATCACAGTAATTTTGTCATAAGGTCAATCTTTGTATTAAATAAATTATAGTTTATTACGAAAAATAATTTAAATGATATAATTTATCCTATGATACTTAAAAAAAAATTTAACAAATAAAAAATAAATATTCTTTAAAAATCTGGAATTTCTATACTAACAGATTTACTATCGAGCTTTGATAATCTTTCACAAATTTCCAATGTGTTAAATGGTTCACTAGTATATATATTTTTTAGCTCTTCTTTAATTATTGTAAAATTTTTGTTAAAATTATCACTTTCTAAAAACTGCTTTTGAATTTCATTTTCAGAATTTTCTTTCAAAATTTCCAACCATTCATTTAATTTAGTAATAATTTCATTAGTAGTTGGTCGTTTTTCTGGATTTGAATCCATGCATCGATTTGCTAATTCAATATAACAATCAGGTCTTCCAATTCCAAATTTTGGTCGCATTCCTTGATAAATCATAACCACAAGATTTACATCAAATTTATGATCAATAAAAGGTCTCTGTCCAGTTGCCATTTCTACCATGATAATTCCAAATGAATAAATATCTATTGCTTGAGTGTACGGTTTTCTTTGTAAAACTTCTGGAGCAACGTAAGGCAAGACACCATAAATATGATCTTCATGTTCTCGTATCTTCGATAGTCCAAAATCTGCAATCTTTGGTTGTCCATTATGAATTAAGATATTCATCGGATGCTAAATTATTAAAATATTGGCTATTAAAATTTTATTAAATATAAATTCTGACAAAATATATTAATATAAAATACATACAAGATCTCCATGATTAATATTATTATCGTGTAAAAATAAAAGTCCAAGTGCTATTTCCTTAGCAATCTGTAGTTTATCTGTCCATTGTAATCCCGTAAAATTTGCTTCTAGGTATTCTCGCAAAGTTCTTTCGTTTGCATATTGTAAAATAAAATTGTAATATCCATTGCTATCTATATATTTGATTTTATAATTATTTTGTTAGCGTGATTATTATTTGATATCCTCAAAAATTATAATCAATTGTTTACCTTTCGTGACTCCGTAGAACGTAATAATATTTGGATGGTAAGAAACTTTTCGGAATGCTTTAAGCTAATTATATGTATTATATGAATTTATTATTCAATAATAGGATGCATTTAAAGTTTTATATCGAATAATACCTCATTAATAAAACTTTTAATAACTTTGTCTTCTATTTAGAAATTAAATAATTTAAGCGCAACAGGCTGTGTTAAACAATCTGATTTCCATCGAGCCAAATATACATTCTAAAATCCTCCTTCTCCGATCTTTCCATAAATTTCTATTTCGTTAAATGGAACCTGTGGTAGTAGATATTTATCTTCGTCTACGAGTTTTTTTAGAAAATCATCGTTACAAATATTTGATTCATGGTTAAGTTTATTATATTTTGCTTTGAGCAACCAAGAAATAGCTTTTTCGGGATTTTTAGATGTTCCGTTACCATTCCGGTAACAATTACCAACTTGTGACATTCCAGTAGAACTTCCCATCTCAGCAGATTTTAGATAATAAATAAATGCCTTATGTTCATCCTTCTTAACTCCAACTCCATTTAAATAACAATACCCAACTTGACATATTCCAATAGCATTCTCCATATCAGCAGATTTTTGATAATAGATAAATGCCTTAAATTCATTCTTTTCAACTCCAATTCCTTTTTCATAACAATAACCAACATTATTTATTCCGTTAGAATCGCCCATGTCTGCAGATTTTTGATAAAAAATAAATGCTTTATGCTCATCTTTTTCAACACCAATTCCATGAAGATATATCTGTGATTTAATTCTTTGAATAATTCATAATCAGGATTCCAAAAATTCTCATTTATAAACACAAAATAAAAGATACAGATGGGAGAGCATAGTCGAAATTGTTTGATCAATATTTCACTTTTTGTTTATTATTATTGTTTTTTTTTTTTTTTTAATAAGACGCATCTATAAGGGAGATTAGAAGGCAAATTCTTCCAAAATAATTTCGCCAAGAGCTTTGACCCTACAAAAATGTAATGATACCTTGTTAACCAACTGGCTGAAGTAATAATTCTAAAGGGTAATACATACTTTTGGCGGCACGACTTTAATGAAATAAATTTTGTAAAACATGCATATTAGGAACGTAACAATCTTTGAACACAAAGATATACATTGCGAATTTTTCATCTTTTGATATATAACTATAGATGCAGACTTATTGACGTTACTAGTTACGGCTCAATTGTGGTTTATTTTATAAACCGATTTTTTATATAGGACGTAACTAGGTGATATCATAAGTCTGCATCTATATATATAACTGAAATAATGTTTGAAGTGTCCGATTTTGATTTTTTTTTTTCTCTTTTTATAAATACTCTATTTTTTTTTTTCTTCCTCTCTTAATTACCAACTTTCTTGATACTGTAAACTTTATATTTACAAATTTTGATCAAGCTTATCTTTTCAGTACTTATCTACATAATAAGTTCAATAATTGAAAGAAAAAAAAAACAATTAAAATTATTTAAACAATGTCTCTTACATTTCCAGAATATAACACAACTTTACAACAATTTAGCTGCCCTATTACACAATATAGCAATTACAATTTACACACCACTTTTTTTGCACAAGTTGGGTTTTTATTCTCTAGTTCATCTCTTATTTTTACCATTGCTGTTTATGGTGCAGGATCTATATTCGGTTATATAAAAACCTGTAGAATTGATAATATTGTTATTCTCACTACTTCTCTGGTTCCCATCTTTTCTTGGTATTCTCTTATCAAATTATATTGGTACGGAAATATAATGTGTAAAACTCTCGAAAGCACAAATAAAATATGTTTATTCCTAGAAAGCTCTATATTTTTTATTTTAGTACTTTTACTAGTAGTTGTTGTTATTGTTATCTTTATGATATTAATCTGTTCCCATTTTTTTTATTCTAATATTTCTGGTCCATGGTGGCTTGAAAAAGAAAGTGAAGAACGTATTAAAACTACTTTAATTTTTGTTTATTTCTATCATTCCATTCAAATCATAGTTTATAATTATATGGAATCTTTCCTTTTTATTAGAATAACTCGTTAACCATCATTCCTTTAATCAATACTTTATTTCTAAATTATTTTATAGATTTAGCCTATTTATTCTTAACTTTAGTATTAATTATACATCTATCTGCTAAATTCAAATATGAAAAATCCAGATTCATTAGTAAAAAGATTTTTTTATCGTAATTTTTCTTTCCGTATTTGAAATATTTTTCAAATATTATTATATGTGTATACCAAGTTATGTTGATACACCTTTCAACGCTATTCTTATCTTTGTTTTAACTCGACAATTGCATCATTCTTTTCTAATGAAGGAAAAATTAGAGATATTCATAAACATGGTCACTACGATGCTGTTTTTGCAACTATTAAAGTTAATGATATAAGCAAAATTCAAGAATGTTATATTGAAATGAATACCAAAAATACTAATAATTGTGATAATATTAAATTAAAAAAGTTCAGAATCGATTATGTCGATGATGATGTTGATAATAATGCAAAAACTACATGGATAGAAAAAATACTTTGTGGTCAACCTAAGCATATGTATGTTGAGAATGTGAAGGATGAAAATGAATGTTATTATGTTATATCAATGGGGAATTTTTATTTCTGTAAAATTAAACTGATTACAGAGGCTGATATGAAAGATATTGAACCTATCATAGCAACTGAAAAGAAAGATATTGAATCGATCACAGAGACTGCTAAGAAAGTTGTTATTAAATCAAAAATTAAATCTTTAAGAAATAAATTATTAAAAAAATTTAAATGTAAAGTAATAAGACTGAAGATTCTAAAGGCATAACAATAACATTAAGTGCTGATGAACATATAAAAACTAATATCAAAAGGATTCTTGATATGGAAGTCAAAAATTGTAAGAAGCCTCTTATTAGTAAAGATAATGCTGATATCAATAGTTTATCAAATAATAGCAATAACACCATATTGGAAATCATCAAAATTGATAAAGATAACATAATTTTAATTGATGTTCTTAATACAGGATTCCTAAATTACCTTATTTACTCTCATCAGAACTGTGATGATATTAAAAATCAGCCAGAATCACCCCTGAAAGTTTGGGTAGTGATTCATGAAATTGCTACAGCATATATTTTTTGGCACATAACATGAATGAGCGAAGTTACTTTTTTGAAAATAGTTTTTCTAATAGAGCGTCCAGGTTCTTGGCTATCCGATATATAGATTTTTGATTTCAAATTGTCACCTATCAAGATCATCACTCGAACTTCCGAGGTGATCCTGTTATTATCATGTGTGTATTATTTTGTTATATTTAAGTTATAGGTAGATATAGTATATTTATAGCTTCAGAACTAGTAAAGTTGATTTTAGCTCTTAAAAATTTGACAGAAAATTATACAACAAAAATAGTTCCAGAATAATAAGCCAAATATCTTTTAATCACTATATTTATAATTTATTTCATATTAAGTTTTTTAGTAATAAATAATTTATTTAATTAACAACAGTAATATTTTATTTGATATTTATTTTCATTAATCTTAAATTTATAATTTCGATTTGCTAATTAATATTTTGGTGTATCCTCGTGAGCTGCCCATTGCCCATTTTATCCCAAAGGAAATAATAAAATATTTTTAATATTTTCCAATAAGAATTGTCATCAATAAGTAAGCCTATTTAGCTGGTTGATATTCCTACTGGGTAAATAATATAATGCTAAATTTGCTTACAAATTTACAATTTTATTATTGCTTTATTTTAATATTTAGATATTGAATAATTTCTTTATCGGTATAAAAATTTCTCAAGTACTATTAAAGATATTATTTAAATTAAAAATTAATTTAATATTGATAATAAATAAAATTAATAAAATATTATGAAATTGAATAACTTCATTTAATATATAAATAGATAATTTTTTTTATTTTACCTCTAATTTAGAAAAATAAAGTATTCATAATAATATAAAACAAATGCCTTCAATAAACTCTTGAACTTGTTAATATTAAAAAATTATATTTACGCAGACAGAGCATTTACCACCTAAAATAATTAAAAAAATTCTATTACAGTATTATGTTAATAAAGCAATGTAGAATTCTTATTATTATCCATAGTATAAACATTTTAGCTACTAGTATTAATTGAAAAATACCATATGGGTTCTTTCACAGTAAATCAGGTTTAGAGACAATCTAACTGAAATTGATATTTATTGGATTATATTCACAAATGCATGAGTTATTCGTAGTAAAATTTTAGCATAGGTACAGTTTAGCAATAATTTTACATATGCTGATTTTTTGTTCTACGTAATTTTAGCTTTATTACTAAAAAAGGTTAAAATTATAAGCATAGCATAATTTAAGTGCATCATACTAAACTATTTAACATAAAATATCTAAATTTATCACAACAATCAAAATTTGAACCCATATATGAAACAAAAAAATGTGATCTAAATCTGCTACCAACTGTTAAAAAAAATTCAAACATCTTAAATGTATTACTATAAAGAAATAGGCGTCATTATAATTGTTTTCGAATTAGTGCGGTAAATGAATTTGAGTTATGCGATCATTGTAATTTTATACAGGACTTTATAAGATTAACAAAATTCATTTATCGTCTGATTCGAAAATTCTGATGACACAATATCAAATACGTATACTTTGAAAAAAATAATATACAAAACATCCACACTGTATGTATAATCATTATTTTATTAGTTCTATAGGTTTAGTCATTTACATTTTATTTATAAAATAATCATTTTTATATATTTATCATTTCCACTCCACACCAGATTTAGATACAGTATAATACAAAAATGTAGTAATAATTTATTGCGATAATAATTATGGAATATTCCCACCATATGATCATGATGTAATATTTACATATCATCAAAAATTCGCACAGCGTACATATATATTTTCACTATACCTACTAAAATAAAAAAAAAAGGATAATCATAATAATTTCTAAATCAGGAAAAAATATAGCACACCAAAAAATTGAACGGAACCATACTGTCACGATTTTAATTCTAAACTCGTGACTTGGATGTGACTTGGTAGTACTAAAAGCCCAAATAACCTGAGCCACAAGAATATTTTTGAGGCTTCTAGGTGGCGAATGGAGGCTTAATGATATAGATCAATTCAGGTGGGTGTTTTTTTTATCTAACATACAATAGTATGATGTGAGATAAACCCGTTATTGTTTGGTCAAGGATTGTTATATAAGCTAGTAATTGTTGGCTCCCGATCGTTAGTATACAACAACTGTTGGTATGCGAAACAACAATTGTTAACCAAGGCTGTGGGAAATATGTGAGGCTTTTTCAAGACAGTGCTGTTCATGGCCTGTGCACAACGCTGCTTCACAGTGTTGTGAGCAGTGCTGGAAATCTGTTTTGAGATTTATGTTCTCATGAGAACATATTTATTTAATTTAATTTTTTCAGAAATTTATTTATATTCTCAACAATAAAATTTATCTATATCCCTATTTTTGAAATTCTTATTTAGGAAAATATTGTCGTCTTTTATGTTAACTCATTTTCTTTTCGGATGATTGAGGTTCCATCTGGCATTATACTATTATATTTATATATAAAGAACATATTTTTCGAGTATTATGATTTTTCATAGAGAACGTTTACAGAATACCAAATGTTCTCAAATCTAAATGTATGTTCTCATGAGAACATGAGAACATAAGATTTCCAACACTGGATGTGAGTACAAAGAATCTTAGAAAGGAGAGATTAAAGATAGCGTAGTAGCTCTTAGTGAACTAAAAGGTATTTAAGGCATGAGTTTCGCCTTGGTAAACTTTCCTCAGACAATGTCTCAGAAAAATATACAAAGTCTTAGTTATAGTTTATTGCTCGGAGCGTAGCGGAGGGTCACTTATGGTCATACTTTCGTCTGAATGGCTGATGTAAATCAATTGCCCAGGTAACTTATTTATACACTTTAGAGTACTTTTTGATATTGTAACGTTTTACCAATAAAAAATTGCCACAAAAGCTATTTTTC